CTACGCTGCCTGCAGCGGTAGCTGGCCGCCGTGGAATTGGCCGCGCTGCGCGCCAACCGCGACGGCTCCGGGCCGGCTGGGCCCAGGGTGCACAGGCGCTGGACGGGCGGCCCACGGCTGGCGCGGGCTGCGCGGCCCAACAGGCGGCGGGCACAGCAGCAGCAGGCGGCGCCGGCAGGGGACCCGCAGCCGCAGCTGCAGCGGCGCCCCCGGCGACCGTGGGCGGTCGGCCAGGGTTTGCCCCAGCGCGGTGCCGCCGAGGCCGCCCGCGCCCTCTTCGGGGGCGGCGCGTGGGCGCCGCACGCGGCGTCGCAGGGCCCCGGGTGGGTCGCGTGCCTCTGCTGCGGCAGCGCAGCCCCGCACTGGCGGGCGCTGGCGGCTCGGCCCTGCCCGGGGTGGGCCAGCACGTTGCCGCCTCGGGCAGCGGCGCTCCTGCTGGTGCCCGCGGTGCGGGCGGGAGGCGGCGAGGCGGGCTGTCGCGCGGCGCTGCGCAGGCGGCTGGTGGTTCGGCCGGGGCCGCCAGGCTAGGCAGTTGCGGCGCAGCCCAGGGGCTGGCTGCCGGCGGTTTCACCCTCCCCCCTCTCCTCCTCTCCTCCTTGCGTTTCGCCACGGGGCCCGCTTGCGCTTGTAAAAAAAAAGTGTGTTGCCTCTGCGGCCTCTGGGCCCTCTCTGGTCATCGTCGCTGCGTCCCCGCCGTCGGCGCTGCTGGCCGCCGCCAGCGCCGGCGCCAGCGCCAGCGCTGGCGCCGGCGCGGGGGGGGGGGGTTTGAACCCCCCCCCCTCCTGGGCTCTCTCTGGTCATCGTCGCTGCGTTGGCGCTACGGCGGCCGCCAGCGCCGGCGCCGGCGCCAGGAGGGGGGGGTTTTGGACCCCCCCCCTTGGGAGGGGGGGGGTTCGGGAGGGGCTGGGATTAGGGGGGAGGGGAGTCCCCGGGACCTCCTGGTTCTGATCGACGCCGCCGAGTGTTGGGGGGGGTGGCCCACTTCGGTTTGAAACGAGCCGCCGAATGTTCCCAAGGCAAGCGCCCGTGAACCGCGCTCTCTCCGTGAAACGCGCTTCCCAATCTCGCAGTTTGGATTTTGGATTTGCGAGGGGTCTAGTGAGTCTTCAAGCCTGTGCGAGGGCACCTTGGGGGCGGGCACTGAAATTCGAGGGAGGGGGCGGTGGCGGAGTCAGGGGTTAACTTTTTGGTCTGTCTATGTCAGGCGATCGCAAACAGTGTTTAAGGGGGCGTGGATTCGCGACGGGTTCCGTTTCCACGGGGAAATCGTGGATTTCCGCCGCCGGGCAAGGCGGCACCGGCCGCATTCTGGGGAGGGCACCTCCCCCGATCCATGTGTTTGGCGACAGCGCGCGCCAACTCCATTGATCGCTAATCCATGTCTGCGCGCCCCCGACTGCGGTTTCCCTCCTGCTCCTCCGCCTGCTCCTTTGCCAACATCTCCTCGTCACACCGCCATCAGGAGGGAACAAACACACACAGACACAATTAATCGTCGATCCCCCCAAAAATATATGGGAACATATGGGAATTGGGCGGGAAGGCAAAAGCCCAGAAAATATGGGAAAATATAGGGAATCATTTTAGTTGTGTGTATCTATTTGTGTGTCCCAGGGCCCCTTCAAGGATGGTGGTAGAAAGTGCGATTCAAGTTCGCTTGCCTTGGAAACCTTCGCAGAAGGGGTGGGCTTCCGAGACCAAGAGACGACCCCCGTTCGAATTTTTGGGCCCCCCCAGACCTTCCCCCCTCTCCCGAATGAAGGGCAGGGAGGGTCCATGACCCCCCCCCCTACTCGCCGCCAGCAGGCAGGACGACGACGACGACGACGACGACGACGCCGACGACGCCGACGACGACGACGACGACGACGACGACGACGACGACGGGTCGGGCGGTCGGGTTGGGCAGGCCCCTTCACACCAGGCGTGACGGTGGGGCGGTTTGGGCACTTCGCCCGAGACTCGGTCGGCTGAGGCCTCGTCGTTACATTCTCATGCCGCCGTGTGTTGCCCTCAGCGGGTCGGCCCCGGACTGGGCGGGGAGGAGCAAGGAAAGGAGGAGGAGGAGGAGGAGGGGGAGGAGGAGGAGGAGGAGGGGGAAGAGGAGGAGGAGGAGGATGAGGAGGAGAGGATGAGTACCATGAGAAAACGGAGGACGGGGAAGCAGAGGGTAGCAGAAGGACCTTCTTCCGGCTGAGAAGATGGCGGATTTCGGGCCCCTGCCGAATGAGGACAAGGAGGAACATGTCCCCTGTGAAGAGAAGCTCTTTGCATGCCCCTTTCCCTGTGAGGATTAGGAGGCTGTGCGAGCCCTCTTCGAATGAGGGGTACGAGCGACCTTTTCGCTGCATTATGTTAATGACTCGTGGAATGACCCTTGCGCCGCGGGATGTGCGATGATGATGCTGATGCTGATGCTGATGATGATGATGATGATGATGATGATGATGATGATGATGATGATGATGATGATGATGAGCAGGAGGGTGAGGAGGAGGGTTAGGATGAGGGTGAGTATGAAAGTGCTGATGATGATGCTGATGATGATGATGCTGATGCTGATGCGGATGTTGATGCGAATGCTGATACGGCTGCTGCTGCTACTGATGATGATAATGCTGATTATACTGATGATGATGTTGATGATGGTAATGTTGATGATGATAAGGATGATGATGATGCTGATGATGATTATGATGATGATGCTGCTGATGATGATTGTGATGATGATGATGATGATGATGATGATGATGATGATGATGATGATGATGATTATGATTATGATGATGATGATGATGATGATGATGATGATGATGATGATGATGATGATGATGATGATGATGATGATGATGATGATGTATGTGATGGTGACGATGATGGTGGTGATGGTGATGGTAATGGTGATGATGATTGGGATGGTGATGATGAGGATGATGCTGTCGATGATGATGGAGCTGATAATGCTGATGACGATGATGATGCTGATGATGCTGATGATGATGCTGGTGATGGAGGTGGTGATGATGATGATGATGATGATGATGATGATGATGATGATGATGATGATGATGATGATGCTGGTGATGGTAATGATGATGCGGAGGAGGCGAAGGAGGAGAAGGGCGAGGAGTTGGAATAGGAGGTGGATACAGAGGAGGAGGAAGAGGAGGAGGAGGAGGAGGAAGAGGCAGGAGGAGGATGCTCAGGAAGAGGATGAGGCAGGAGGAGGAGGCAGAGGATGACGATTATGGTGATGCTGATGACGATGGTGACGGTGATGCTGATGATGCTGATGATGATGCTGCGGACGATGGTTGATGATAGTGATGAGGTGATGATCCTGCTGCTGATGATGATGATGATTGTGATTATGATGATGATGATGGTGATGATGGGAGTGATGATGATGATGATGATGATGATGATGGTGGTGATGATGATGACGACAATGATGCTGCTGATGATGACGATGAGGATGTTGCTGTCGATGATGCTGATGCTGTCGATGATGATGATGATGATGATGATGATGGTGGTGGTGGTGGTGGTGGTGAATGGTGGTGGTGGAGTTTTTTGTGATGATGATGATGATGACGATGGTGATGATGATGATAACGATCATGATGATGATGATGATGATGGTGATGATGGTGGTGGTGGTGATGATGATGATAATGATGATGATGACGACGATGATGATGATGATGATTATGAGGATGATGATGATGATGATGATGATGATGATGATGATGATGATGATGATGATGATGCAGATGATGCTGATGATGATGATGATGATGATGATGATGATGATGATGATGATGATGATGATGGTGGTGGTGTGGTTATGATGATGATGATGATGATGATGATGATGATGATGCTGATGATGATGATGATGATGATGATGATGATGATGATGATGATGATGATGATGATGATGATGATGATGATGATGATGATGATGATGATGATGATGATGATGATGATGATGATGATGATGATGATGACGATGACGATGATCATGGCAGGGCGGTGGGGGAAGTGGAGGATGAGGAGGAGCAGGAGGAAGAGGAGGAGGAGGAGAAAGATGAGGAGGATCAGTGTAAAGCCAAGATTCATCAACGATATTGGAAGAAACCCTCCCTCCAGGCTCCCTCTCCATAGGCCCCATACAAGGTTTCATTTCCGCCGAGCGAAGTGCCCCGTTGGGAGACAACCGCGTGAAATCTTGAGACGTGCCAAATCACGATTCTCGGGACTTTGGCGCCATGAATCAACTTGACTGTTTCGTCATGACGATCCTGAGTCGTGCCATAACACAATGCGTGTGACTTATACACCGCGAATCAACGTAACTGTTGCGCCCTGGCAGTTTTTGATTCCAAAACACCGTTTCTGGTATGCTAACCATGCGAATTCATGAAACGCGGCGCTAGAGCGAGTGCCACATTTTGAAAAGGAACAGCCCTCAATCTGCGAAATTCTGGCACTTGTTTAAGACGAGTGTGCGCGGCGCTAAGGCGAGAGTCACATTTTGAAAACCACCCGCCCTGCATCCGTCAAATTATTGCAGTGTTTTAACACGAATGCGCGCGGCGCAAAGGTGAGAACCACATTTCGAAAGCGACCTGCCTTCGACGAATGTGCGCGTCGCTAGGGCAAGAGTCACATTTTCGAAGCAAGACTTCAGGGTCATAAAGGGTAATCAAGTCTCAGGCGGAACGCCCGGCCCGCCCTTTCGACGGGCCTCGGGGTGCGACAAGGAGGGTTGTTTCATAAGGAAGAGGACTGGAGGAGCGGGCGGGCGGGAGTGAGGCTGCATCTACTCGACAGACTCAGCGTCCAGCGTCCAGCGGGTGGATGAGAAGGATGACGGAGGTGACGTTGTGGCTGAGGTGGATGACGACCTCTGCAAGCGCAGCCGGAAGCTCTCTCCCCCGCCCCGCGTTGCCGCTGGAGCCTGGGGTGCGCCCGCGGGGCCGCCTCCCTCCCGAGAGGTCGTCAGCTGCGCCACGAACCAGCGCACCCTCGCGAGGAAGAAGCGCCCCGCTCGGCTCGCGCGGGCGCCGCCTCCCGCGGGGCTGGGACGAAGACGAGTCCGTTCCGAAGCGTTCCAGAACGTTCTCAGAGCGCTGTGGGACGCTCTGAGAAGGCCGCGGCGTCCGAGACATCCGCCAGAGCCGCTGGGATCTCAGAGATTGTGTTCGCGTCATCGTCAGCCGAACTTGTCCTTGTCCT